TGAAAACCCAATGTATAAAATAGATAAAAGCCAAGCACTTGTGACTAATGCAAAGGGGAGTGAGGCGAAGGGAGGGAATTCCCCACTCTTTCTCTACCTTATCAGAGGCATAAGACTCCAGAGAGCACTATTAGAAAACCAGAAACTGTTCTGATTCATTAATTTCTGCTTTTATCTTTATTGCTTCCTTCCTCCTGTGTTCCATAGGATTGTTTTGTTGCTCTTTTCTGATTTCTTAAGTTTGGTGCTTATTGTGTTTATTTTCATTCTTTCTTATTTAACATTGAAAATATTTAAGTCTATAAATTTGTCACAGTACAATTCTGGTTATATCTTATAATATTTTATATAGACTGTTTTCTCCTTACATAGTAATTATACTTTTTGAGTTTTCTTTGACCCATGAGTTTTGAGTTTTTGTGACCCATGAGTATGTGTTTTCAGTGTCTAAGTGTGATGGGGTATGTTTACTCTTTTTAATATTAAGTTCTGGTTTTATTTCATTGTGGCTATAAAAAAAGTTCTTCCTAATTTTAAGTTTTTAAGAAATTATTGTTGTTTCTTTGTAATCCAGTGTTTGATCAATTTTTATCGACTTTCCATGGCAGTTTGTAAAGTATGTGTTCTTGTTTTTAGGTTACAAAGCTTAGTTCCCTTCTGCAATGTTTCTTATTAATTATATTTGAGTCTTCTGTATCTGCACTGTCCAATATATTAGCCACTCTCTACATGTGGCTATTGAGCATTTGAAATGTGATTAGTCTAAATGGAAATGTGTTGTAAGTATGAAATGCATACTGAGTTTTGAAGATATAATACAAAAAAAGCAAAGTATCCCAATAATAATTTTTTATATTGATTGTATATTGAAGTCAGTATGATAATATTTTGGGTCTGTTGGGTTAAATGGAAAGTTCAATATCATTAAAATTAATTTCACCCCTTTTTTCATAGTTTTAAAAATGAGGCTACAAGAACATTTAAAATGACATGTGTAGCTCAAATTCTGTTTCTATTTGGCAGCACTCTGTTTGATTATTTATTTCTGTCCATGACTAGTAGTGACATTAAAATTGTTTCTTCAGTGATTTCTGCTTATATTTCTCACAATTTCACTATATATATTTTATTATTATACTATGCCATTTAGACATAATAGGTCACTTGTATTGTGGCTTGTACTTTACATAAAATAAAATGACTGTCTTTGGCTTGTTTTAAATTGTTCCTCGAATTCTAGTTTGATATGAATTACTACCATTGTTGCTTTTTTTTTTTTTTTTAGTTTTTTTCATTTATGTATTTTTTAAAACTTCCCTCTACAGCCAATCAGTCTTGCTTTTTCAAACAAATTTACCTAGAATATTTTACGTACTTCTTTTAATTTTATCTTCATTTGTTTCAGGTTACTATCTTTTAAATAGTAATTACATTTATTTTATTTTTTGATATAGTATGAAAATCTTTTCTTTTAATATGGAAGTCTGACTTTTCACAATTATTGTTATCAATGATATATAATTTTATTTTATGAGTTCCATTTTTATTCTATTTTCCTTATTTTATTACATTAAATATTTTCAATACCTTTAATTCTACTTTTATTACATTTGCTTTTTGAAAAATCATAGTTAAACCCATTTTCTCTAATTATCACTGTCAAGGATAGAATAGTACCCATTGATTCTATGTAAATGAATGATTTAGCATGTTTTTTTTCCCCTCTGTATTTGTTTTCTAACTGAGATTCAGATGATTATGACATTTTTTACATTAAGTCTCATCTTAAGAATTATTTTTGAGATTTACATAAGTTTTAAACCACATTGACCACAATGATTTAAATTTAACTTGTTTTGAACCTTATTTTTCAAAGTGAATGCACCATTTTATATTCCTGCCAGCAATGAATAAGGTTTCCAATTTATCTATGTCCTCAACCACACTTATTATTGTCCTTTTTGACTGTAGCCATCCTAGTGGCTATGAAGCAGTATCTCATTGTGGTTTTTCCTGATGGCTAAAAATTTCCCAGATGGCTAGTGATGTTGAGCATCTTTTTACTTGCTTACTGGCCATTTGTATATCTTCTTTGGAGAAATGTCTATTCAGTTCCTTTGCTCATTTTTAAATTGGGTTATTTGTCTTATTGAACTATAAGAGTTTTTATGTGTTCTACGCACACATCTTTTATCAGTTATATAACTTGCAAAAACTTTCATTTTTGTGGGTTGTCTTTTCACTTTCTTGATGCCATCCTGTGGAGCACAGTAGTTTTAAATTTTCCTGATGCTCAATTTGTCTATTTTCTTTTGGTGTCATATCCAAGAAACCATTGCCTAATCCAAGGTCACAAAGATTTATGCCTGTTTTCTTCCAACAGTTGTATAGTTTCAGATCTTACATTTAGATCTTTGATGCATTTTGAGTTTATTTTTTGTATATGGCATGAGGTAGGGGTCCAACTTCATTCTTTTGCATGTGTATATTCAGTTGTCTCAGCACCATTTGTTGCAAAAACTATTCTTTCTCCATTGAATTGTCTTGGCATTCTTGCCAAAAATTGACCATAAGTGTTTGGGTTTATTTCTGGATTCCCAATTCTGTTTCTCTGATCTATATGTTTATCCTTATACAGTACCATATTATGTTGATTGCTATAGCTTTTGAATGTTTTGAAATCAGAAAGTGTGAGTTCTTCAAATTTATTTTTCTTTTTCAAAATTGTTTTGGCTATTCTGGGTTCCTTAAATTTCAAATTAATTTTAGGATCAGCTTGTCAGTTTCTACAAAAAATCCAGCTGGCATCTTGAGAGGGATTGCATGGACTCTTCAGATCAATTTTTGGGGAGTATTACCATCATAACTATATTAAGTTTCCTGATAATGAACATGGGATATCTTCTTAAGTCCTCTTTAATTTCTTTCAACACTGTTTTGTAGTTTTCAGAATTTGAATTTTGTACTTTTTTGGTTACATTTATTCTTATTTTTTTTATTTTTTATTTTTTTTGAGACAGAGTCTCACTTTATTGCCTAGGCTAGAGTGAGTGCCATGGCATCAGCCTAGCTCACAGCAACCTCAAACTCTTGGGCTCAAGCAATCCTACTGTCTCAGTCTCCTGAGTAGCTGGGACTACAGGCATGCGCCACCATGCCCAGCTAATTTTTTTCTATATATATTAGTTGGCCAATTAATTTCTTTCTATTTATAGTAGAGACGGGGTCTCGCTCTTGCTCAGGCTGGTTTTGAACTCCTGACCTTGAGCAATCCGCCCGCCTCGGCCTCCCAAGAGCTAGGATTACAGGCGTGAGCCACAGCGCCCGGCCTAAATATTCAATTCTTTTAAATGCTATCTTAAATAGAATTTTTTAAATCTCATTTTCAGTTTTTTCATTGCTACTCTATAGAAATACAGTTGATTTTTTTGTACATTGATCTTGTATCCTGCAAACTTGCTTAACTCTCTTACTAGTTTTAATAGTTTTTTAGTAGGTTCTTTAGGGTTTTCTGTATCTGAGATCATGTCATCTGCAAATAGAGATAGTTTTACTTCTTCCTTTCCAATATGGATGCTATTTATTTCATTTTCTTGCCTGATCACCCTCGCTAACATCAGCACAATGTTGAATGTAAGTGCTGAGAACAGACATCTTTGTCTTCTTGTTACTGATCTTAGGAACAGGGGGAAAGTGGTCAGTCTTTAACCATTAAGTATAACATTCGCTGTCTGTTTTTGTAGATGCTCCTTATCAGTTTGAGGAAGCTTCTTTCTATTTGTTGAGTATTTTTGTCATGAAGTCCTGTTAAATTTTGTCAAATGCTTTTTCTGTGTTTATTGAGGTGATCATGTGGTTTTTGTCCTTTATCCTATTATGATGTATTATGTGAATTTAATCTCAGATGACATTAATTTTTTTGCCTTTTAATTCAACTTCCCACTTCCTCATTCTTTAAAGTTCAATGGACCATGGAGTAACCTATTAAATGACATATGCAATAGATGCAATGCAGGGCTTAGATGTTGATGGTGGTTCTTTGTGAAATTTTCAGTTTCCAGGCTTTTGTATCTCATCAAAAGTCCTAATGATGGCTAACTAGGATTTTTGTTTGGTGTTGTTGAATGGTGTAAATGTAAAACAAATTTTTACATGTGCTTATATAACACCTTTGTATAAATTCATAGCATTATTTTGATAGTATATATGATACAGTTTCATATTTCAGGTACAATTTTTGGACGAGGAAAATTTTAACTATATTATTTATATGTTTTGGGGGGGGTGATAAACCTTTTATGCAGAATAAAGTGTGTACCTAGTATTTCTGGCAGTTGTAATTATTATCAATGTATTTTATCTTTGAAAATTTGTGTATCTCCCAATTTCTTCCTTAAACATAACATAATTGGTTTCATATTATGTATTTTCATCACGTCCCTATTTTATAATGTATATTCATATTAATTGCAGTTTCCTTCTCTTGGACACATTTTTCTTTTCCATGTGGGTTCCTACACTTGGTTGCATTGTCATTTTCATTGATGATGCATCTGCTAATTAATGTTTCTTTGAATGCCTGCCCTTTTGTCCTTGATTTTTGCAGTTCAGTTCTATTTTTTATTTCAGCTCTATTTATTGGTATTTCTTTCTAGCTTCTATTGGCCTGTGACCTTCTGTGACAAAATATTTGTGATATTTATATGTTTATGAAATTGACAATCCATCCTCTGTTATCAGTGGTAATTAATATGTAAATGTTTCTTTAAAATGGCTTAGAAAATAGTTATTTCATGTGTTTAATATTTAATACATGTGATAGCTTTCTAAATACGTAGCAAGGTATTGAATTATTAGAATATATCACAAACATATATAAAATTTTAGTTGTTTATTCTGGTAAAATATATATAATATAAAATTTACCATCGAAATCCTTCAGATTTTCCTCTTTCTCCCTTAGTCTTCTTTTCTGTTGGTCACCTTTCCTTTTCTTTTAGATACTGAAGAGTTCCTGGCAGAAGGTTTGCGAAATGAGAACCTCAGTACTGTTGCAAGGGATCACAGAGACCATATTCTACGGGGCTTTCAGCAAATCAAAACCAGGTTTGTATAAATTAGTTTTGTTATTGTTCTTCATAACATTTAAAGCAACTTATAATCAGTAAAATGTACTTTAATAGTGTATAAATTAACAAGGTAAGACACACCTATCATAGTTCTTTATACTTGGGAGAAGCTTAATAAATATTTACTGAATTGAATTGGAGGCCAGCAAGCATAGTTAGTGTAGTTTATGGAAATAAAAATGTTTTGATGATTATGTATGCATCTTAAGATAATATTCTGCTTTTAGTTTTGAATTTTGATGTTGGCCTTTATTGAATACTTTTGCATTTAACTAAAAAAAATGGTGAAAGCTAAACATTTATGCTTGTCTGAATTACCAGCAGGAAGGTGTTAGGCAGTATGAGATGATTCTCATTATGATTTTTGGTGCCAATTTTACTTCCACATTCTCTTCCCTAATAGAAAACTTAATCAGACTTACTCAGTTGATTCTTTGACCATATTGGGACATTTTAGTCCTGAACTGGATTGGAATATTATGATCATTGTTTTTTTGTTTTTTGTTTTTTTTAAATAAGAGACTGTGATCTAATTTGTGTATCTTAGGAGTTGAGCATCTGACAGATGTACACACTTCCTTGGGGGAAGAAGAAATCAGTTTTCTTTTACAGTATATTTCCTGATCACCTATCGCTTGAAATGGGTAACTGAATGAGAGTTGGGGATAAGTGAGTATTATTTTAGCCTTCTCTAACGGGGTGGCAGTATGATTCAGAATGTTTGACCAGAGCACGCTTAGGAAAGGAAGAACATCTGCAGGGTATGGTTGAGGTTTAATTTGTGTGGCCTACTGTTCTTAGCATCTACTCTAAAAACCTCATGGAACTTCTTAGAAAAGGGAATTTTATTCTTTGGAAGGGCACAGCCAGAATCTATTCCCTCCAGGAATGTGAGAGAACCTCATGAGATGCCCTGCTGGATCTTAATCGATCTTTCCTGCTGGCTAATTAAGCATCACTTTTACTCAGCAACTGGGGACTGTGTAATTATCAGCCTGGGTTGCCCTGAATAATTGAAACAAACAATGCAGAAGATGGGAACTTTTTCAAAAGTGGGACTATCTATACTTTTTGGTAGGCTGGAAGAGTATTTAAAACAAACTTCTCCATAATATTACTTTATTAGCAGATAAGTTTAGGCTTACTTGTGTACCTAGAGTCTTAGTAACCTGTAGAATTTTTTATTTTCATGAGTTTGCCTCTGTATTATACGATTACCATATGATTTAGCATGAGGGATAAAGATGGAATTATTTTAAATTGTATTTGTTATAGGGAGAAGGATGCCCTAAATATGACGGTGTATATGGTGGTTCTAGTGGTATAAATCTGTGATAAGGAATGCAAAAAACAAGTTTATTACATCTGTAGGGACAAATAAACAGGAGGAGGAATTCTTCTTTCCCATATCTACCATAGCAGTGGGAAAGGGCTAAATTTCAATCTTAAGTTGGTGATAAAAGGCAAATTTGTGGTAACTCAACGCATTATAGTTGGTTGCATTTTACTTCTTAATCCTCTTTTTAAATGTACACACACACATGCACACACAGAAGCTGTATTTTGTTATGCAGTAGAGCGGGTTTCTTGTTATAGGAACTTTCTGGGTGGTTCATGAGGTAGACATTTAGGAAACAATCAGCAGGAGCTTTAGGAAATATCTGCATTGTTGATGGGAGCTTTCTGTTCATTGATTTGTTGCAAGAAAGATGACACTTTACTTAGAATTTCATAATTATCAGATCACTGAGGAAATGAGGAGCCAGAAACTAGATACTGTACAAGAAAATGGAAAAAGAAGGCTTTCCTTTGACAAGCTGTTTGAAATTGCCTTACATCCACCCATTCAATCATCATTCTGTTAATGTAACCCTTGTTTTACTGAATCCTTTTCTTCAACGATTCCAGTCAATGTTAGGCACTTACATGGGTTGATACTAATTGTTTTGGAAGTAATGAAAGCTTGCAAATGTCAGCCACATTTCCTTGCATTGTGTGGCACTTGTATCTCTCCTCAAAAGCTGGGTGTGGAAAGAAATTCAGAAGTCATCAAACTTAAAAGTTAAGTGTATATGACAAATACATGAAACATACAGTAACATGAAAAAAATTAAAGTTATTGAAAGTCATTGAAAAAGTTTTATCTTTAGTCATATTAAAGCAATAATATTTTAGGAGTTTAGTAAATTTAGGGGTGTGTAGGAACCTATCTAAAACTATAATTTAGCATTTCAAGGCTTATTTGGAAGGTAGGTAAGAAATCCCTAACAGGACAATCTGGAAAAGCCACTAAATAAATATAAATACTATATACATATATATTTTTTTACAGTGCCCACTCTTTGTTGTTTTCTTGCTTCCTTTAATTATTTCTTCAACATTGTGTTGCTCAAGAATAAAAAGGGTGGAGAGAAGTAAAAATAGCACTGTCTCTAATTCTTGGTAAACTCTAAGGACTTGGCCCTAATTTTTATGGCTGGCTCAGAATTCAGTGGTATTTGCCCTGGTTGTGGACTTGCTATAAATTGAAGCATCTGACTCTATCACAGCTGTTATAATGTGCCATTTGCCACCTTTCTGTTGTCTATAGTGACTGACCACAGGAAATGACAGTTGTGTCAAGAGTCATGGATGTTCTCCAAATGCTCATCTGTTTTTCAGTCCAAATAGCACAGCTATTCTCTTTTGCCAGACTTAAAAACAAAATAAATAAATAAATAAAATCATATCTATCTCTACGTACTCATTTTTTTTTTTTTGGCTTTACAGTGTTACCAGTGAAGGCTAATGTTTTCCATGTAATACAAAATAAAAGTGGATGGCAGTTTCTGTGATTTCAAGGAAATGAAGTTCTATTGTGGTATTTGATGTCCTGAGCTGTGATTTTCATTGCTGTTCTTCAAACTGCCTCTTTTTTTAAAGCTTCTCCCTAAAACCTAACAGCTTTCACATTCCGAGTCCAAGTTTTCACTGAGCTCTTTGGAGAATGGTTAGGATGAAAGCCAGCCAAAGTCTCCTCCTGCTTTATTGTGGTGGTCACTGCAGGATTAGCACCAGATGTGAGACACCTGGAATGAAGCAGACATGGTCTACGCTCAAAAACTTGATGGCGTTCTTACACATTTGGAGAAACAGTAGAGCATTTCTTAAATGTTTGATTCAGTGGAGGCCATCTGACAGCAAGAATACATTGAGAGTGGGGAAAGGGATGTAGAAAATAGAATATTTTTATTATTGAGGTATGGCTAATTTCTCTCTTGATGGCCCTTTTTGGGATAACTTGTCATTTATGCTCACTGTTGGAAGTGAAGGGCAGAGCCAATGGAAACAAACTTGGAGTATTGTTTCCTTCTGTGAAACTTAATAATGCTAAAGGAGTTCCAAAAAGAGACAAGTAGATTTATAGCATATTGAAATGGAAAGGAATACCTTTGTGTAACAGGGTTATGGCACAAAACCCAGGACATTAAAAGTATAGGCTGAAAGAGTGTTTCGAACATGTCTTATTGTGGGTGGCTAACCTACAGCTCCGCATGAAACATGATACACTAATACAAATCTCATAAAAATAATTCTGACTTTCTTTGGGAATTTGAGGTTTTATTTTCAGCTTAACATGGATTTAGCTTTAAAACAGGATTTAGCTTAAGAATGCATAATTCTGATATTTTTACAGTATGGGAAGAAAGACAAGGGGTTGGTCTGATAAAACTCTTAGGAACAAGAGTTTTAAAGTAGTATACTATAGATATTATTACCATTAATTATATATATTTTACTTTTCCTAACTATTGGTTATTGAGCTTAAAAACTCCCAAAACAAAACACATTCAAATGAAGTGTGCTTATCAAAAGAACTAATGTATAATGTACTATTAGTACATTTGTATTACTCAAAGTTTAGAAATTTGCTCATAGTATCTTTCTGTTCTTTAATTTTGCTGCTACTTGTACTGGAATTTCAGTGCCAATGCAGAAAAAGCAAACAAACAAAACAAACAAAAAGAGTAGGAGGTACTTGTATGCTGCATCTACATTTAAATAGCTCTGAAAAGGCTAAAAAGTCATAGCAATAATTTGACCACATCTTGAAGGTTAATAATTCAATTCTTCGTTTTTCAGTCCTATCCCTCCCTCCTATCCTTAAAGGAAAAAAGAAAAAAACCTACAACAACTTCAGCCCTTTTTCTTAACTATCAATTATAGGCCAAGTTTCTGTACTAGTTCTCTGTTACTGAGTGTATGTTGAGATTTCACAATTGTGTTGAAGATTTTGGGAATCTACTTCTCGAGGAATGAGGGGTTATATTTTTTGCTCTTTCAGTCTGAAATGTTCTACAGGTGAGACTGATATAATATTACCTGATGTTGGTTTCTTGGCTTAACTTTTAAGAGCTGGAAAGGAAGATCATCTTATTATATGTTTTTTCATGGCAAGTCTTTGTCCTTTCAAAATAGCTTTGGAATATATTAACTTTCCTTACAATTTTATCATAATGATTATTTTGTTTATTCTTTCACTCATGAGGCTATCTGGATTTGGTACTTGTTCCAAGAGTAATTTGATCTATTTTTTTCTTTTATACTGGGCTACTGTGGTGGCATTAGTGGGCAGAAGCTTCTTCCTTTGGGCTTCCCCCAAATAAATATTTTGTATAAACGACTCTGAGTCTGTTATATAATGATATTTTAGTATTTTTCATGCTAAGTAATAGATGGATTTTTTTTAACAAAAAGCTTGGATGAATAAATTTGTTCCTTTTAAAACTTTTTATTAAAAAAGTAGAAACAATTTTTTAACAGAAAGCATATAGTCCTTGGTGGTTCAGAATAAATGTCTAATAAAAAATGCACTTATAATATTTTAATTTTATGTCTTTTAGATTTTAAATAGAATTTCAGGAAAATATATATATATTTTTTTTATTTTTATTTTTTATTTTCTTCGAGGGGAAGCATTCATGGGAAGGAAAATAT